CCTCTCATCCCCTATCTCTCTCTCCCTCTTCCTTTATCTACGTGTGCATGTTTATATTTGTGCGCATGTGTGTGGTTGGGTGTGTGAATGTGTGGGTGTGATATGTCAACTTATCAATTAATGTATCATGCATACAAATGTAGCTTGTTGTCGTATTTCTGCCATCATGAAAGTTTGTTAAATATATTATTGTACAGGGAAAGGGCTTGACATAAGTCGTACAACTTGTGCCCAATTCCATTGCTATGTAAAATAAAAAAAGGCAATAAAAGATGTTTAAGTCATAAATCCATGTTCCAGGTCTTGTTCCTAAAACTAATTCATCACTAAGTTCTGTGAAGCTAACACCAGAAGAAATGGTAGATGTATTAGAGATACTATAAGTAGGGAAAGCCTCGGGTATAGATGGTATAAGTCACCACATTCTACGATATACAGCTAAATAAATATATGTAAACCTCTGCAAAGTTTATTCAACAGGACATTGTCAGAATGTATATATCCAGATTTGTGGAAACTAACAGGCTACAGTTATGCCGTTATTTTAAAAAGATGAAAAATGATTGCCGTCTAATTACAGACCTATTTCTTTACTATCAGTAGTAGTCAAAGTCTTCGAACGTGTTATTGTAAAACACATACATAATTATTTTCTATAAAAAAATCTATTTTACACTAAGCAATCAGGATGTATGCCAAGTCACTCTACTGTACACCAGCTAATTGAGATTAGCTCTAATGCTAAGTGGGGTGACCATATAGAAAATGTATATCAGTCGGCGTTGAAAAAGGTAAATGCTTTGAGAAAGTCATTTTTTTTTGGAAATTTAAAATTATTTAGTTAAATATATTTATGTTTTATACTTCCAATGTTGGAATATGCTTGTGAACTTTGGAGCGATTGTTCTAAATGTCTAATCGATTTACTAGAAATGCTTCAACTAGAAGCAGCTAGAGTTGTAACCAATCATTATATTTTGAAACCGGATGGGAAACTTTAATAAGTAGAAAAAAAGGAGAACATTTAATTTATTTTACAAAATGCATAACAAACTGACACCATCATACCTGTATACATTATTACCTGGTTTAGTTAGAGAACGAAACCATTACTTATGGAGAAATAACAACAATTACCTTATTCCTAATCATAGTCTTACAAGTACTAGATTATCTTTCATACCAACAACTACCAGACTCTGGAATAGCCTCTCGGAAACTGTCAGGAACCAGCCAACTATGAATACTTTTAAAAGCTCTATACACAAGAAAAACCTCCGCTCTATTCTAATCACGGACCTCGTCATCTTAATATTCTACTAACTAAATTAAGACACAACTGCAGTGCACTAAACAATGATCTTTATCGTATAAATTTAACTGATTCCCATCGTGTGCTTGTAGTTACCCCTGTGAAAACTCCTATCATTTTTTTTATGGAATGTCCTCTTTATAGTAACATAAGTAATGATATGTTGAGTAAGTTGCGTCAGTATCATCCATTACATCTAGATACGCTTTTGCATGGAAATGTTAATCTAACATTAGATGAAAACCAAACTATTTTTGAAATTGTTCAAATGTTTATTCGTAGAAGTAAAAGTTTTTAAATATAGTCTTGAAGAACAGGTGAACTTATCTTATGGTCTATCCTTTCATTCCTTGTCTTTCTATAAAACCTACCCAACCCTATCACTATCTTTTCTAAACCACCATGCCATAAGTGATTTTCGTAATATGAACTATACAAAAAAAAAAAGACTTTTTCTTTTCTGCCTGTCACAATGAAACGATACCTAGATACCTAGAATGAGCTTGAATGTACAACAGAGCAAGATTATTAGGAATGAGCATTTACATGGACAATTTGAACAGATGAAGTAGTCGGAGTGTGTAGCTAGTATGTGCCAGGCAGACATATCATACATTACTATACATTATATTGTTTTATGTGATAATAAATGCTATATGATATTCTTGTGATTTCCCTGCGCTTTCAACCTGTTTCTTCTTTCCTTTTTCTGATTTCTTAATTCGTTTTATGGTATAAAAACGTACATATATGTCTATTGTCGCCATCACATTAGTGTAGTACAATTGTTGAGGAGGGGGCTTTTATAAGCTGTCATAACTTGTGCCCAATCCTCTTGCTTGAATTTAGAAGCAATAAAATATGTTTGAACTAAACGTAAAAAGACAAAAAAGTATGTTCAACGACAGACAACTCGTGTAGTAATCGGCCTCGAGGGCAATACCATGATTTCCATGCTGCCAAAAGTGGTCCCTATATGTTTAATTTTTACCATATCATTTATAAATCCCAAAATTATATGCTTGGACCTTAGTTCTTTAGACTGAATAACCACATATCACAAACGCATTCTTGACCAAATACCGACATGGTCATCGCAATATATCCTCATCACGTACGTATTCCGTCTTTGCGTATTGCAGAGTTATCTTCTCTTGGGAGCAGGTAATGATTGTTACGTCACTTGTTTGTGAGATTAACGTCATCAATTTTTGAGAAAACGACGTAATTTTCTCCCACAAACCAATGACGTAACAATCAACACCTGCTCCCAAGAGAAGATACCTCTGCAAAACGCAAAGACGGAATTGCCCTGCCGTCGAATGTCAATCTAATGAAAATTATATCTTCACATCGCTCCCGTTTACTGATATGTCGCGTATATCAGTAAACGGGAGCGATGTGAAAATATAATTTTAATTAGATTGGTCGAATGTTGAATTTGTTAAAGAGGTTTTTAAAACACTGTTAGTAGATAGTACTCATGCAATTTTGCTGGCATTTCGCAAATTGTCAACTGCACAAACAATGACTTTGCAAATTATTATGTAACTGTAACGACAGATATATTAATCTTGTCTAGTGTATCACTAGCTATAGGGCTTCGTGTAAAAATTGGACTAACCGATTTGCGATCATACCGGGAATTATTCGAATCTGGACGAAAAGCTTCAAATGAAACTGGTCCAACTGCGTTCATAGCCCCATGAACGCAATTTCTTTTGGTACTATTTATACAGACACTTGCAACAGAGATGTAAAAAAACAAGTTAATAACTAACAAATGTATTTGATGTGGTGTCGTGATTTTGTGGTTACAAAGTATGACAGGCCGTTTGCGGAGATTTCTCTATGCCCTTGAAGAAACCCAAACTGGCCTGTGTTGTCCATGTTGAAATACACTGAGACCTGTGATTTTGTCCGTCCCTTGTCCCTTTCCTACGATGGTATAATATATACCTAAACGTGTCTATATTGGCAGTACCAATTTTCTACCGAGTTGATCTGTATACCACTGTGTGTAATAAGTAAATGAAAGAACACCTGCCCTCCATCCCCGCACAAATCGTTCAGACGTGTAAGAGATCAGGGCCAATATTCATGAAGGCGTTCTCTTGATCAAGCATGGTTTCTGCGCTCAGACTAGCTTTCTTGCAACTCGCTTATATCATGTCAAACGATCAAAAAGTAAAACACAGTATTTGGCTTTAAGTCTCCTAATTTTTTTCCTGAATCATTGACAAAATAATATTTGTTTATTAATCTATATCCAGAACTAGAATTTAAGGCTTGAGCACAAACAATCTATGTTTGAGCACGAGAATGGTTTGATGAATACGGGCGCGGGAGTAGGGAAAACTGTCTTACACTCTAAGTACGTGGTTTTATTATATCATGTCACTATCAGATGATTTAAAATAACCTTATATATTAAATTCAGTACTAGTGAGCCACATCAAAGTGTATGTCGTTTCAAAATGTGTAAAACACAAGAGTTTAAGAATCAGACAAAGACTCTTCAATGGCATGAAATTTTAAACCTCGGTTTGAATGTTACTGTCTCACATCTCTAGAACTATGTCAACTTGAAGTCAGTAGTGTAGCTGCATTAGGCTCGAGTAGGCACGTGCCTACAAATAAATTCAACCAAACCTTTAAGCAAGCCTAGTACCATTTAATTGGAATGTGGAATTTGAAGATTTCAAAAGAACATTTTATCAACTTGAACATCCTCTTCTTAAATATTTTTTTCTATTAAGCTTTCTTACTTTTCGACCCTTTACACAACAATTTCACGTACCAAATAGAAGGAACGCCTTCAATTCGCTTTCTTATTATGAAAGGTTTCTTTTCTAAAAGAAGGGCAAACAGCGATAGAAATATATGGTTGTAAATTATTTTGGAATATTTTTTGTAAAAAGCACTACAAACTATAAAATAAATAAACAGAGGATGAAATTGTGAGAATAATGGAGTTCCTGGTTGAGTTCTTTACCAAGTCCAGTAGCAAGACTTTTCATCAGTAGGCATTCCTATGGGGAGAAACTGTGCCCCTCCTCTGGCCGACTTTTGGTTTTCATACGAGGTTAAATTTATCCATCAGGACAAAAGAACTTTAGCAAATTGCAATTCTTTCAATTCAACATTCAAATATATCGACAGTTTGCTGTCTGTAAACAACAATAATTGTATTAACCCCGTCAATCTTACATACCCTACCGAGCTTGAAATTATTCTCGAGATTTGAAGCATGTTCTCACATTTTTCTCGACAAATGCATCTCCATGGGCATCCAACCTTATGATATTTACAAGTTTAAATGGGTTTTTTCCTGATTTGTGACTTTTATTTAGCTTGGAAAATGGACATATAAAAAGTGATTTTTTCATCAATTATTGAATGTTTTTTTTTTCTGAAATTTAGTGTGCATGTACCTCAATTATGTTTGAGAAATATTGGAGGAGGATTATTTTGTGACAGGGATTGTTTAATGCTAACGGAATGCATTATTGAATTTGATATACAGTAATTATGAAGGTGTAGCAGCCATATTGGAATGTCCTAACATATAGGTTGTAACTGAACTTCTTATATAACCATTTTTATTGCTGTTTGAGTCTCATTGAAAGCGCCCGGAATGCTAGCGCCCGCAACATATATATACTGTTTACGTAGTTCTTCCCTCACCACGTGCCACTAGTCCTGCGCACATCGTTGTATAATTTCTTGGCCTCATTTGTAACCGGTATTTAGTTCGGTGTTTGGACTCGAAAGAACAATGGCTCTTCTACCGAGACTTGTTGCTCGCCGGGGAGTATGGAACTTGCTGAAGACGCAGAGAGCATGCATGTCAGCTGTCCCCCAGCCACTGGTCAACCCCGATATCAAATATGAAAAGGTATTTTTTATAAAATATAGCTATCTCTAGCCTAAGCCCGGATCATTCCTCTGGTCCCCCTGGAACGTACATAGGCCTATAGTAACGTATACGTTATACGTGACCGGACGTTGATAAATCTAAAATATGGTATATATATATTAATTAATATTTAATGTTGAACTACACACACTATGACCAATAAGAAGGCTAACTCATCCACTGTCACTGGGCTGTCGAGCTAGCTAGGTTACTGCACAAGTATACCAGAGACGTGGCTTTATACGTCTCTGAGTATACATACTGCGTCACTGCACCAAGCCCTCCAGCAGACGATTGAGCTAGCTAAAGACCTATATTATAGCTCTTTTGACCTATAAATTAAAAGCTGTATTGAGCTATATTTTCTCAGATATCAATTTTCATTAAATTAAAGCAAATAAACAATAAGGTTTATGGTAATGTTGATTACAAAAAGCATACATTTAGATGTTTATTTTCTCATTTTTCATCAATGTTAAAATTTCGATTTTTTTACATCATTATTTTTTTAAAAGAATACTTATATTTAATGTCTTTTGTTATCAACCTAATAATACAATCTTCTTTTAAAAGCGACTTTGTTTTGTTTTCCTTAAAAAAAGAAAATCACATGAAAATAGCTCAAAAGACCTATTTCAGATAGGTCAATAGAGCTATTATAGGTCTTTACAGCTATATAGCTCAATCGGCAGAGTGAAGTGGACCTGATAACGGGAAGTTTTTAATAAAAATATACTAATCATATTCATGTTAGATGAATATATTAGTTAAGTTAATAAATTTCTCAACTTTAGATAAAATAAATGTATTTTCTGGTGATAGCTAATTATCACCTGATTTAAGTAATTTAAGACTAATAAATCCTACTACATTATATATTTCACAAAATCAAGCCTGAAATCTGAATAATTTGGACAGAAAAAGAAAAAGTGATCAGCATCTTCATGCGCAGCTGCAAAAGAACAACTGCCATCTTGAATATAAGATGTATTTTATGTTTTGAGTTTATATGCAATGAACTGTTATAGAGATAGAGGGAATTAACACAAACAGACCTTATATAGAGTCCTACAGCTTACAAGTTATTTGCACATTGTTTAAGTGCAGAAGTTCTTAAAGAAAAGGGCAAGGGGGAGAGGGGTTCCTAAACTTAAAACCCCTCCTCTGGACCCAACAAAGTAATTACTGATAGATATATCCACCTCTAGTGAAAAACGTGTACATTCTGTAATTTCAAAGAGATGCATTTTGATTAATTGCCAAAAACCTTTTGTCAATATTTAAAGATAGCTACTAATTCCTTGCCTAAATCAGACTCCAGCCTTTATCTGGTTATGCTCAGGTACTCAACTGCTGTAAGTGTTCAAATTCAAACTAGAAAGGCACTGTTTATTTCCTCGGCATTAATTTGATCAGCTCTAAATTATCCAACAAGTCAGTTTTTAGGAACCAAAAATAATAATAAAAAATGGTTCAAAATTGAGCATCGTTATTTCAGATGTCAATGAACACAACATTGATTAAGTAGAAGTTACGTTTTAAGGAATATTTGTTCAATAGCATGACTGGACAATTTTGATACAAAAATTGATTTTTTTTTTTGTTCATTAGCTTGGAGACTTGAAGAATTGTGAGAGTCAACAAAAAATAACTTGTTCGTGATTTATTGATTTAAAAAGATAAAGAACTAAATACAGTCAAGCCAATGTCTGATCTTTTTTGGATTTTTAATTCCATGTGTAGCTTCCTTCTATTTCACGTGTAACTTCCGTCTATTAAAATTCATGTATAAGCTTCCTCCTCTTTTGAAAGCTGAAATGGGAGGTTCATATGTCGGGCTAGAGAAATCCTTTCAGGTTTACTATTACGGTAACACAGCTGTGTGACTGTGTAGATAATGTGAGATATGCTAGGTAATCGACCTTCACCAAGAAATTAAACCGTCCCATTTACAGGTAACAGATGTATAATACACACAGTAATACATGCACAAAGCAATACACTGCCCACAGATCTGTTTCCTCAACATTGCTAACAGACCCTGACCTCATCAAGCTTTTAGCCAATATGATTTAGGCTGTGAGTGGAATAATAAACTTCAGTTATCTGGGTAGAAATGTGTGTTACAGGTTTTACAATTTAACAAACAGGTGCTGTACACATGTAATTGATTTAATGGGTTGAATTTAATCTTTTCTGTCTAAGTTGGACTTATCTATTTATACAATAGGTTATCTATCTAGAGGTATGATGTATGCCCTATAGTTCAAGGCTGTACATGTACATGCATGCTACTCTTCTCAGCTACATGTAGCTGGTTAATTTTAAGAGATTGTGAGATAAATTGATGATAGTTTATCTACTATAGTTACCATAATATTTTTGTCTCACTAAATTTCCCCCCACTGACATTATAAACTAATTTGTCCAGTATTTTGTAATAGTTGAACTAGGAGCAAGCTTTAGACTGATATAAATTAAATATTACAGTTTTCTCCTCATATTTGACTAAAATAAAATGGTATATGGTGAATTACGTTCTTGCATTTAATGATGGATAATTTTGCACTTGTCTGACCTGTAGGAAGTGAAGATATTGTATGTAAATGTTAAGCATGCCGACAAATGAAATCTACTGGCCCTTGGCTATCAGACCTGTGATATGTGTGCCCCGTTTAACCCTATTACTGTGGTCTTGTAGAATCAAATGAAGAATTTTAAGTGTGTATTCACTCGGCTGTCTTTCACCCTTTACATACATTTTCTGTTGGCACTATATCCAAAAAGAATTACAATTAAAGTCTACACAGTGGTTTCGGTTTATACCATATTACCCCCAGCACACGTGCAGGCATACACACATAGGGAGATATTAGCCAGGTGGCATAGGACTAGTAGTTAGCACTTGATAAGGCAGCTCCTGCAAATTCCTCAAAATTGTATTGATTAATGTATATGCTAATTGTATTGATTGTATAAATTGTACTGTAAAGCGCTTTTCAGTGGCTTACTCTAGCTAGATAGGGTGCCATATCAAATGTTGTATATTATTATTATAATCAAAACAATCCTGGTTATTCCTTATATATTACATGACATAATTTATATGCATGTAACGGGATATGAGTAAAACTTTATTATAAATCAAATATGATTATGAATTTCAGCTTTTCATCAACAATGAGTGGGTGAACTCTGCGTCTGGGAAGACATTTCCAACCATCAATCCGGCGACGGGGGAAAAGATTTGTGAGGTGGCTGAGGGTGACAAGGTACGTTCTCCACCAAGTGTACACCAATTATATATTGTTAAACTACAGTAATAGATGCATGTCAAAATGAATGATCACTTGGAGACGACATTTCAAATCGGTTTTATAATAGGTGTAAACAATGCTGGAGGGAAGATGATCCCCATTACACAAAAGTGATCATACAGGACAAAATTATGTCAAGGTCAGGAGGTAAAGAAAGTAAACAGATATATAGAATGAATTTAGAGTTGACTCTTCTTGACAAAGTGACCTTAAAATTTAACCCTTTGACCTGGAAACATGATACATAGTTTATCTGATCTATTCCAAACAACATTGCTACATCTATTTATTACCAAATGTTTACATTTTATTATGTTTTCACATATGTGAAAGGCATTATATATAAATATTTTTTTAATTTATTTTACAAGAATATTTCAACTTATATTAATCACTCTTGTTGGCCCTGATGTTAGCGCGTGGGGGTCTTAGTCTTATATATAAATACAGTGGTTTATCAGGGTGGTTTGGGACACAGACCCTGCAGTGCAATGAAATTGGGAAAAAGTCATTGACATAAAACCTTTTTAGGAAATTTTGATGATATTAAAATGAAACAACTCTGAATACAAAAAAAAACCCACACTCTTTGACTTTTATTGATGCCAATCTGTATGAGAAGATGATCATTCTGTACATTCTGCATATATATATAGGCTAGTCTACATTTTGAGCACTCAGTCACTCGTGAGGAATTTATGTAAATGCATGTAATCTGTTTTATAAGATTTCCCGATTAGGAATTTTAAAGGGGAAAATTACCTTGTGAGTTAATCTTTTGGCTATGAAACTTCTTAATCAGCACAGTAATAAACCATACTCAACATCCTATATTTAACTTGTTACCCCAGTGATCTTCTACATTGACCTTTTTACCTTATACACAGTGTTAGGCCAAAAACAAAATTACTTGTGTTTCTACTATCATTCTCAGAAAATGTAGTGCAAGTAGGTATAGGCCATTTGTTTTAATTTGGAAAATATTTTTACTATACCTATATAGAGTAGGAGTTCCGATTTTAACAGTGCACATCACTAAACGCCAATGAAGACTTTAGGGTAGGCACACTATGATAGGGAGGGGAGGGTTAGCAGAAGCACAAGATTTTTTATTTGGCCTTATTAAGCTGTTTGTGTTGTCTGCATTGTCTTTGTAATATATGATATAGATAAGCTTACTGACATCTATTTTAAAAAACAACCTTACTGTCTGTCATCCTCGATATCCAGGGGTTACGCTCACTATATGTCGTAGCAAAATTGAAGGCTCATGATCAGGGAGCACAACCTTGTGGGTGAGACAAGAAGACCAGTTTGATCCTTGAGCATTGCTTGGTTTTAAACTATACACATTTTACTCTTTTTATTTATGTCATTAATGTTTCTAGATGTTGTCCTATATAATACACAGTCAAACTGGTACTGCAGGCCTCTCGGATAGAATTTTTTTAACCCAGTAGCTAGCACTGTGTCTAGTAAGATTCCAAAAGGTCACTCGGCACATATGATTTTTACTCAGGGCCATATTAAAAGCTATAAAAGTGGATCAATTCATGTTAATTTGTTTATTTGAATGTGAAATGATGCAGTATTTTTCTGATAAATGTGCTAAAGTATGTGTAGAGAAAAAAAATCTCTTGCAATATGGACGAGTAGCATCGACCGACACCGTGCCATTTTCACTCGTCTGGACGAGTCCTTTCGCCAAGGGCTGTAAATGTAGCGTCAAACGTTTAAATACATCCGTGTGTCTCGGTTAAAATTTACCAGAGTGGTAAAGGTTATTTCATATTTGGTAACACCAACAACATCATATTTGTTATCATTATTTATGTAAAAATATTTATATTGGAAGTTATACAAACATTATTGTGTTCAAATTAAAATGACTAGTTCAGTCTGGGGCGTAGCTGAGATACAAATCTTGTGTAGGCACTTGAGCAATTTGCTGAAAAATGAGCTGTGTTTTTTTAGTTTAACGACAGCAGTTTTAAGTTTGATAAAATCAATTGATAAGTGCACCAGTGCGTTTTATGATACAAGAAACAGAAAGTAAGACATATATGAATGAGTGATTATGATTTCATGTTAGGATTTTAGCAGGAGATTTCAACTCATTTTCACTGACGACAATATCTATGAAATGATTTTAAAGAAGAATAATCACTCCTTTTTATTCAAAAAATTGTAAACAAAATGGAGAATACCGAAGCGTAAACGAAGTGTGAACTCAAAATCGATAAAAGGGCAACATTTGAACAGGAGAAGCCTTATATAGGCACTGCCTGTTGTCTAATCCTTCTGTTAACTCAATAAAATTTGTTAAAACCAAACATTTGAACAAAAGCATGGACCCATCGAAAAAATACAATGAAATAAGACCAGGTGTTCCGGAAGGGTTAATGTCTTCTGTATAAAATATAGGTCAAATCCCAGATATGTTACGACCATAAAGCGAGAACTTGGGTAGTGACAACAAAACCACACTAAGGAGCATACTCAACAACATCAACCTTCATACCACACAGACGTGCCAATAGTCTTCATTAAGCTGCATGTGTTTGAAAAACATATGTTGTAACTTTGCCCGTCAGCAGCCTACATCTATGATATCATCATGACAAAGTCTTGAACTTATGAAGTTATGCTATTTGCAACAAACTCTTGAATACAGACCGAATCAACATGGAATGTAGGGGTATTACTGTAACCGGGTATTCAAATTGACCACCAAGTCGTTATTTGTCGTGAATTCTTTATTCAACATAGGTTTAAAACACCTACACTCTGTAACAAACACAAATTAAAAGACTACAATTACTCAGAGCGTATACACAACTCGTAGATATCACTAGTTACATTTAACACGAATATAAACTATAAATGGACACATTTAATTACATTTTACCAAGATATCAACTTCGTAAGAATTATTATTACAATCATGTTATTTAAATTATATTAAATAACTAGCATAACATATAACATTAAACTGATATTTCAGAGCGAAAGATCTACTTTCCTATAAATTACTTGTAAAGATCTACATCATAATGCACATAGATAAACTGGGTTTTCCCATAAATAAGTATAACATATAATCATAAAAGAGGTAATCACCTGTGTATGGCACAGAGCCGTTTCAACCTCATACATAACTCATCACCGGTACTCCATGCTTTCGTCCTTTTCGCTTACAAGTTAACGTCTAAAATGCATAAAAACCTTTCTTACTCATAATACTCTAGATAAAAACATACAGAAGATAATGGAATAATTTAACCATTACTCATTTATATTTAAGCTGAAGCAATACAAAATACTACTTTACACAATGTAAAGTTACAACTCAAAATGGAGATTTTGAATAGAGAATAATTTAATTTAAATGCCAAACTAATAAAGTTTACAGCTAATCCATACTGTACAAGATAGCTAGATACAATAGATTGAACTCATACTACTTAAAACATAACTTACCTACAAATTCCCTGTCTGTCTTACAGTCCCTTTGGTCGTAAAATGTCTTGATCAAAAGATAGGTGTTTTCAGTTTGGCAGGCAAGAGAGTACTGATCTTCCTTACCAAGAGATTCCCGCCAAACTGACCAAAGGGTATTATACTAGTTTGACCAATAGAAAAATGGGCAGATATCACATGTACGCCATGTGATATATAAAAATAGAACAATACAGGTAAGGTGATATATATAAAAATAGAACTACAGGTAAGTAATCAAATAATCACTCCCTGTAACCTATAACACACACATATCTCTTTTACACACTCTAAACAATTTGGGCACAAACAAATAGACATGTATACATACAAAGTTATATAAAACAAGATAGTAATCACCCTATTACATCCTCCCCTGCTTCGAAAAATGTCGTCCTCGACTAGGGATGTACAATGATTACCTATACTTATCTGAAACATACATAAAATATCAAGAAATCTCGATCTATACTGTAAATGGTCAACAACTCTCAAGTTCTACTAGAGACGATATGAAGAAGCGCTGAGACCACTCTGTCATCTTGCCCACTCAGCAATCCATCCTCGACCAACACTGAAAGGAATTTTGCACGTGACTTCCAATCAGGTTCACTGGTCTGTTGACTCATTATATATTGGTTGCCACGCATCCATGCAGGTTTCTTCCGTTCTCGTTGCGACCTTCGAGGTACAACTGGTGATTCCTGACTTGAATCTGTCAACTGAATGTCTTTTGGAATAGTGTCCTCTACAAGAAAAGTGTCCTCTTCATCCCCTGACACTTCCAAATTGGTGTTCCCGTCGGTTCCTGTACTATTGTTGGGTCCGGGCACGACGTTTGTTAGAACATCGATTTCCACCAAAAGCACTTCCTCCTCCGACGATGAAGAAGCTGATGACAAAGAGACTTTGTCCAGGACAGCTTCTTTCCGAACCGCTGCTTTCGAACGGCGAGGTACTGGGATCGGTCGTGTTTCCCTCTTCTCAGCAATATATCCTATGGGAAGTAGTAAATTCCGATGTAGAGTTCGGATACGTCCTTCGCCACTTTCCTTTCTTACAACGTAAGCGGGCACTCCAGTGTTAGGCTGATCAATGACGATGTATGGGTCACTTTCCCATTTGTTGGAGAGCTTATGCTTTCCATCAAAGGAGACTATCTTCACTAAGATTCGATCACCTATATTTAACACTGCTTCCCGTACCCTTTTGTCGTAATTTTCTTTCTGTTTGGCCTTCGCCTTGTCCAAACTGTTGGACGCTAGCTCATATGCGCTAGTAAGACGGGTCCTCAGGTCCTCTACATATGACGTCATTGTTTTTGCTGACTGTTTTGAGGAACATCTCAGTCGAGTGGACATGGTTTTCACTAGGATACAGAAATGTGGGATGAAGTTGGCACCAGACAAATGTTCATTGTTTCAGAGGAAGGTTAAGTATGTTGGACATATCGTCTC